AAAACCAACTCATATAATACTTATAAAATTTAACCTCTATATAAGCACAAACTCTTTGTAAGCACCAAATTCTTAAAACCAAAGATGTGATTATAGAGAGGTTTAACTGTAATTAAAACTACAACAATTAACATATATGGAGGTCATCTAAAGTGAAGATAAATCATATGACAATCAATATAATTGGTCAAAAAATATAAATTATAATTAGTCAAAAATTTCTAATAAAAAAAAATTTAAATTATAAAATTTTTTTATTATTCAATATTACAAATATTTTTTTAAATTTACTATTATTTTAAAATGATCTTTATTTCATCTTATAACAAATTAAATTGACAACTAAACTAACAAAAGAAAATAAAAATCACTAAAATATAAAATTTGAATAATTTATTTAGTACTTCATTTAATAAGCATTCTTTATATTAGTTTAAATAACAGATCAAATATAATGAATAAACTCGAATAACTTATTTTAAATACTTCAATTAATAAAATTTTTTAACTTATCATTAAATTAAAAATTTAAATACCATAAAGTACTTCAGTCAATAAGTATTTTTTACAATTCTAAAATTAATGCAAAAATAGTAAGAAATATAATAAATATTAATAAATCTAAATAGCTTATTCTAAATACATTGATTAGTAATCATTTCTTATACTTAATAAATGAATACAAATAAAATAGAATTAGCAAAATATGTCTATAAATTAAATGCTTTAACTTAAAAATTCAGATTCATTAAATTAAATATTATAAACTTAAATAACTTATCTCAAATATCTGACCAATTAAGGACTGAAGTGGTTTAACTACATAAAAATAGTACTATATTTTTAGTTCAAATTAGGTTGCTTATTGTCTAGAAATATTGAGAATGATATTAATACTAGTTGTATTGAAGTAAATAGTTAAGCATAACTAAACTATCAATAGTTAAAAAATTTCAGGCAGAACTGATCCTTACAATTAACAAATGTTTTTAATACTTACTAAACTTCTGAATAAAATAATAAATAAAATAGAATAAGAGAAGTATTTATAAATAGTTTCAAGTTAACTTACTGAAATAAATTTTTTTGAAATACTATTTTACTGAAATTGTAATACCAAAAATCTATTCTACTAACAAAATAGAAATAAGTCTATGCTATTTCATCAAAAATAAATTAACTAATAAGTTTATTTTACTAACAGCTCATTTTGCTAACAGCTTATTTTACTAACAGGTTTTTTTAAAAATTGTACTAACTTTTAATTCTAAACCTGGCTCTAACAACAATAACTAGAATTACTTTGTTAGTAAAATAAACTTGTCTATTGATTGATATTTGATAAAATGACACTGACTCATTACTGTCCTGTTAGTAAAATGGATTGTCAGTATTATGACTTCAGTAAAATGGTATTTTAGAAAAATAGGCTTCAGAAAAATGAGCAACAACCTTTATAAACTTGATTGCTTAATAAATGTTTTATATATTCATGTTAATTAATACTCACAAGCTTGAATATCTTATTTTAAAATTCTTAATTCAGCAATTAATAGATTTTTAAATTAATATAAATAAATAAAATTAAGTAATCATAAACCTAAGTTGCTTAATAAATGTTTTTTTATATCTATTACTAATAAACCTTTCAATTAATACAAATAAAATAAAATTGGTGTAGTAAGTGTTCATGAACTTGAATTGCTTTAATTAATAAACATTTCATACCTATTCACCAAATATTTACTTGATTAATTAATTTTTAAATTAATGCAAAAAAAAAATAGTCAGTAAGTTAAGTATTTATAAACTTAAATTAATTCAATTTTTTCATGTTTATCTATTAAATTAAGTAATGTTAAAAGAAACCAAACTTTGAAACTTTAAGTTTATTATTCATAATTTACTTGACCTAGCTCTGATCGATAATATATGACATGCAATTAAAACTTACATATAATATATATTTCTAAACAGGAATTAGTTCAGTAAATGATAAATAATAAACTTGAAAACCAAAGCCTGGCTTTCTCTTAATGTTACTCAAATATTCAAACTTTAATAGCTTATTTGATACTTATTCAAATAATTCGATAAATAAATGTTCATCAAACTTATTAAATTTAAATTAATAAAAAAACTTATTTTAATACTCAATAAACCTTCATACTCACTAAATTAAATATTCAAATAGCTTATTCTAAATGCTTCAATGAGTAAACTTTTTTATATTCCATTCAGAGGTACCAAAAAATAAATTGCAATTAAATTATTATACAATTTTAATCAACTAAAATTGTTAAAAAAAAAACAATTGCAATACAATTAAATAACAATAAAGTTTGCTATAATATAAGGGTTTTGACTTTAAAATACTTTATTTTGAAACTAAAAAAAATTGCACTCATCTGCAAATTTAAAAAGCCTCTATGCAGCACTTGTTCAAAACTTTTGTGCTTATTGAAACCTATTTAAAAATAAAGACTTAAAGCATTATTTTGATATGTGTTTTCAAAAAGAAATATAAATTATGCAGGTCATTAAAAAAAAATAAATAGATTAATGAATATACCTTTACATGCATGTGTGTATATATTACTGCATTATGTACATCTATTATTTCAAGTTATCACTGCAATTAATTAGATAATTGTTATTGCATCACCAATTAATTAATTGAAATCAAATACATAGTTACAATTAATTACTTCCAAAATCAATTATTCAGTATGTCTGATCCCATTAGTGCTAACAAAATAGAATTAGTATTCATTAACTTAAATTTTAATTAATAATTATTTTCATATTCACCTCTAAAATATTTATAAAGTAATCTGAAACATATATAGTTTATCTAGATAATCTGGTATCTGAGTAGAAATTTTCTTAATGAATACTATCTTTATTCATAATTTAAAGTAATTTAATGCCTAGTAAATTAATTTAAATAAAATAAAAATAGGAAAAGTACTTATTATCTTAAATACTTTGATTAATAAATGATCTCAGTACTTACTAAAATATTCATAAATTTAAATAGCTGATTCTTAAATACTTTAATTAATAAATATTTTCTTAATTCTTTGGTTAATAAGCATTTTTTATTCATCTGTTAAATAATTTAAATAAGCTGAAACTAATGAAGAATATTTTACATTATTTCAACTACAGATAAAAATTTGCAAAAAACAGCTCCAACTATGAACAGAAAATCCTAAAAAAAAAAGGTTATATTAGTTAAAATAAACTAAGCTTGATAAATAAATAAAATAAAATTATAAAATAATAATAATAATAATAATAAATATAATAAATAAAATTTACTAAAAAATTATTCACAAATAATCATTTATTAAAATTTTATTTATTTATATTAATTTAATTTTTTATATTTAATTAAATTGTAACATAATGGAAGTGAAAGAGGCTTTCAACATAGAAATATAAGTTTCTATCCTTTCAACATCACCTGTTTCTTCAACATACCAGTATCTATCATATACTTATTCAGTTAATTCAGCCATAGCAGTTCTTTGATTTTCAGCCTTTTTTTGCTATTCTGTCTTTCCATATTTTATAAAGGACTTATAACTTTTATAAACCTCAAATCCACTTTCTTTAAACATTTTTTGGAACACTTTTCATACATCGATTGTTAGCAACTTGTTATTATATATATGTTCATAAAAAATATGCTTACAAGGTAATAAATATCGATTGCAGAATAAGCAGTAACAATTAAGAGAAGTCAATCTAGATGCACCTTTTCCTTTCTCAAGCCTATTCATTATAGTGTAAGCTTTTTTAATCAGCAGTTGCTAAAATGGAAGTGAAAACTTGTGGATTTCTTTGAAAATGTTATTATCAATACTATAAGCAGATACTTTTTTAATATAAAAGTCAAAGGCAGCACTTTCAGATTCAGATCTTTTTTTGTAATTAATATTAACTATATTATACACAGCATCTGAAATATAAATGAATAAGAGACAGGCAAAAAAAATTAACAAAACAATAATAAATGAATAGGCACAAAGATAATGTTTTGGAATAAGAAAAAAATTTATTTTATAAAAAACTCATAAAACCCAATACTTACTCACATAATTATTCTCATTCTTAGATTTTTCAAAAAAAACAAGATTTTAAAAAAACCTTACTCACATAGATTTTTCAAAAAAAAAAAAAATTTTTTAACAAATAAAAATCTAATTTATAAAAAAAACAAGTAATTTTTATTTATAAAAAATAAAACCCCATATCTATTCACAGCTATTCTGTATAATACAAACAATAATCATCTCTGAAGAGGTAGCAGATAAATGAAATTAAAAAAAAGCAGATTTACCAATTAACTATGCAGTGAAGATATTGTCTTCTTTAATTCACTATGAAAAGATTCCAACAGATTTGTAGATGTAACTTGCAAAAGCAAAAGGAAATGTTGATGAGTTCACAAACCCTATTGCTGTATATTTTTTGTGTAGTTCCTTCTAATATAATTTTGTATAGCAGAAACAGAACAATGATCAATAGCTTTCTAAACAAGGCTTTCACAGCTAATCTTTGTTTGTTTGTGCATCACCACAATCATAACATTCTGGGTTTTTTTTCATATATTCATTGCATCCATGTTCTTATAGTGTGAATAATGCAAAGAATAATTTGGCACTCTTGTTTATCAGCTGTTATACTAGGAAAGGTTTTTCAACACTTTTAGCCTTGAAACTACTATTGTTTGAAAATATATAACAGGAGAACCAGTAACAAAACTTGTTACAAATTTTTAACAATGCTTCTGCAACTGTTTTACTATCTTCACTACTTACAAACAAATGAGCTCCTATGTTCTAGCAGCTATAACTATTATGAATATAAAGAGTGAACAAATGCCAGTCATACTGGTTAGTCTTGTGAGTTGAATCTATAAATATTAACCACCCATGCTGCTCAAGTTTTATTAGTTGTTCAGGATGCACAAATACAATACCTTTAGTAGATCATTGGAGAATACAATAGTTTTTAACAAGATACCTCTTTGCTATTAAATAAGATTCAACCTTAGAGAGATCTACTCGTAAATTTGAATTTTCCATAAGGTAGGCTTTTATAGAACTATGAACCTTGTACTTGATGTTTGCTACCTTTTTGTGCTTTAGCTCACTCATGCTTGTGCTTACTCATGCTTGTGCCAAGACCTAACCTAGTTGCTGCATACACTTTAATGGCAGCTGTGATTGCTGATAAAGAATAATTTTTAACTGCTTTACTTTTAACTAAACTCCTAATGGCCTTTGATTGCTTTATTCTATCACCTTCTAATAATGAATGTGTATAATTAGAAAAACTCTTGTATTATTTTATCTGAACTATCTTGGAAGCACTTAACCAAGAAATTTCAATTTTTACAGAACATAGGCCAGATGGTTGTATCTTTGTAATTTACTATTTTTCAGTTGGAATATTTTCCTTTTGTCAGTTACTTGATTCTCAGTACTTTGTGAAATAACATGCAAAAATTTTCCAAATATCACTATTCATATTTTTATATGAACCCACAGGGTCCAAATATTTGTAACCAGTAATCACCAATTATTGTCAAAATCCTCTAAATAAACTTTTAAAGAACTATCTATATTGAATAAAAGATTGCACCTTTTATCTAATGTAAGGCTTGATATTAATATAATAACCAAAGGAGCAAAGTTAGCATTCAGAAGTATAAAAGACTTACTATCTAAAGAAGCTGTAACATCTGAAGAAGAAGTAGACATGACAATCTTTAATTAAAAAATTATATAGCCCTTTTTTGTTTTATTTTATCCTAATAAAAAAAAAATATTAGCATGCTAATAATTTAATTATAAAAAATAAATTAAAAGTTTTTATTTACAAAGTTTGATCCAAATATAATTAAAAACCTAGCAAAAATATTTTTTTATAAAAAAATATTGATACCTATGCCATCATATTTCAGTATTTATTACAAGTGTTTTTTAAAAAAAAAATAAAAAAAAGCTTTCAAAAGTCAAGATATCAGGCTAATATGTTACAAACTAAATAGAACATGAAATCAGTATATTATAAACAAATGTTGGGTTAATATCAAATATGCTTTGAACATGGAAGTCAATATAAGCAAGTGCCAGATTAATATTAGATGCATTTTACTTTAGCATAGGTTAACAGGGTTAACGAAAAAAAACTACAAAAAAAAAAAAAAAAAACAAAAAAAAAACTTATATATTTATTTATAAGATAAAAAAAAAAAAAAGTATTCTAAACATCAAGATCAAAAAAAATTTTTAATAGTGTCATACAACAATCCTATTATCATTACATTGAGAAAAAAAATTTTTTTTTGCAATTGAAAAAATCTTTTGTAAAAAAAAACTAAAAAAAACTGAATATATTTTTTAATCAATTATAATTTTTGTCACTGTTGGCCAATTACAGTTATAATTATATCACATGATTTATCTCTGCTTTAGCCATTCTTTATATATGGGATGTGGCAACCTAGTGAAGTGAATAGGTTGTCAACTCTCAAGTAGCAGATCTAGAGTTCAAATCTCAATAATAGTAAAAATTTGCAATTCTTTCTGTATTATAGCTAACTGTCTTCGTAATTGGTTGAAATAAGATACTTGTAACCTGTGTTATACCAGAATGACTGGAAGGTTTAGGCACTTGTACAACATTGTACAAGAGAACACAAACTGGTACTGGGCAGTATAAACCTAAAATAAGTCCTTAGGCTGTGTAAATCACAGGAACCAGATAGAAAAATAAAAGCCCACTTGGAAGACCTAAGTAGAGAGGTAATTCAAACTTTTAACAGTGCTACTATAAAGACTAGACTTATAAAATGAAGCTAGAACTTGTAAAACCAGAAAAATGTACTAGTCTTTGAGAAAGGACCAGATGAACCAATCAGGCTGCTGGAATTTCTAGGTTTCAGAGAAAAAGAATACATGCTGGCAAATATGTAAACTAGAGGTACAGTCTTAGCTATCTTTCTAGACTATCTGAAATAACAGCTTGATGAACTTAAATTGAATACCAAAGTAGTAGGAATATGTTGTGAAGTTAGTACCAGGATTGGAGTAAACTCTACAAGGTCATAGTGGCTTAATGATATATTCTGACTGCTAGTATTGGTCTTAGCTATAGTGATACTAGGTTAGCTATAAGAATGGAATACAAAAGATTCTGAAAGGTTTAGTACAAGGTCAAAGGTTCCTCATATGAGTGAATTGCTTTAAAGACTTAATGGCCATGGCATATTTTTACTGGCATCAGCTAGGATTGTTGATAGGCAGAAGTAGATAGGTAGATACAGAAACAAAATAGTTAAATAAGAAACTTACAAGTGGGTTCCAAGTATGGCAGCTAGTGTAGAACCTTCAGGCAGACTACTTAAATTAGACAATGACTAAAGTTGTACAAGTGGCTAGTTATACACTCTCTTCATAGTTGCCCTCTGTAGTTGTAATGCAACTATTAGCCAAATATACTATTAATAAAATCTTAGGTCACAAGTACTCATCCTAATATTTAAAAAAAAAAAAAAACAATTAACATATATGGTGCATAGTAATATAGTAAAGTGGTTATGTTATTAACCTCCAAGTGGCAGATCTAGAGTTCAAATCTTAGTGTTAGCAAAAATTTAAAAGTTTTTTTGTATTATAATTAACTGTCTTCTGCTATTAGTTGGAATCAGATATTTGTTACCTGTATTATACTAGCATAACTAAAAGGTTATATAGCATTTATGTAATAGTTGCATCTTGTATAAAGGAATATAAATCAGTACTGAGAATTGTGAACTCATGATAAGTCTTTATGATTATATAAATTACAGGAACCAGAAAGACAGAAACCTACTTGAAACTTTAAGTAGAGAGGTAGTCTAAACTTTTGACAATGATATTGTAAAGACTAGATCTATAAAACAAAGCTAGAACTTGTAAAGCCAGATGAAGAAATAGCTTTTAAAAAAAGACTGTTGTAACTAGCCAGATTGCTAAAATCTATTTTAAAATAAAAGTTTATATGCCAAAAAACATGTAAATTAGAGATATAGTTGTATTTACCTTTCTGGGTATTTGAACTAAAAGCTTAGTAAAACTTGAATTGAATATCAAAGTAGTAAAATATATTGTAAAATAAGTATTGAAATTGAAATAAACTCTACAAAAACATAATGGTTTAATAATATGTTTTGACTGCAAATATTAGTCTCAGCTATAGTATTATTAGATTAGTTGTAAAAATAAAATACAAAAAATTTTAAAAGATTTAGTACAAGGTCAAAGATTCCCTATATGAGTGAATTGCTTTAAAGATTTAGTAACTATAGCATATTTGCACTAGTATTAACTGAGACATCTTGGTAAATGTAGGTAAATAGGTTAATATAAGAACTAGAGTGTTTAAATAAGAAACTTACAAGCAGATTCCAGGTATAACAGCTAGTATAAAACTTTTAGATAAACTATTTAAATTAGACAATAACTAAAGTTGTATGAGTAGCTAGTTGTATACTCTTTTTATAATTGCCTTCTGTAGCTATAATGCAACTATTAGCTAAATATATTATTAATAAAATCCTAGATTACAAGTACTTACCTTAATATTTAAAAAAAAAACAATTAGCATATATACAATACAAAAATATATACTAATAAATCTAATTATTATAGTTAAACCTTATACTATACTTTTGAAAAAAGCAACTACAGTAATAATTAAACTATTTACTAAAATATTATAAAAAATATATAAACATATTTAAAAGTTATATGCTACAAAACTAGTATAATAAAAAAAAATAATATTAGTTTACTAAATAAAAATAGATCAATAACCTATATAAAATTAATAGTTATTATAACTAACATTATAATTTGTATTATATATATATTGCCTATTTAATTTATTTTATATAGAAAACAATATTTGTCTATTACTAAAACATTTATTTTATAAAATTAATCTTTGATTTGTATAATAAATACTATATAGCTCTAATAGCTATCTTGCAAATAATATTTTATTTTATTAAATTTAAATAAGTTTCAACTACTCTAGTAGATTTTTTTTTGTATTTAAAACTATACTTTAAAATAGTTATTTTATTAATAGATGTTAAGATTAGTTATTACAATTACAGTCAAACCTCCATATATGCACACCTTGGGATTAGCTATAAATGTCTATTTATGGAAGATGTGCATTTAGAGAAGGTTATACAAATTATATCACATAATAAAACAAATCATCATTAGACTCAAATGTCTTATATATATAAGATATTGGGCAGATAACAAAAAATAACAGGAAAATTTTTTTTGTTAAAGTTAATGTTACTTCATGTGTTGTATAACAGCACATGAGTGAAATTGATTAACTCTGATGAAAAAATTTTTCTGTTATTTGTTGTACATATGCCCAATATTGATGTTATTTAATAGTTAATATGATCATGTAAAGTTTTTTCTATGATATTTTGCAAAGGACAGTTCTAGCCTATATTTGGGATATAGATTTTTATCATGTTTCTCAATTTAGTTAGCATGTGATAGCTATTTTAAATTTAGTTTATTTATTTAGGAGTTATAGGTTAAGAGCCAATACTTCAGGTATAGTTTAAGGATACCCTTTTGCAAAACTGATTATATAATTTTATATTTTATGAGATCATATAAAATGTTAGATAAATATAAGATATTAGTCATATAATAATTTATATTATTGCATGTTCTAATATCGATATTATCCAGCAATTTCAGTTAGGCATATTACCAAAAATAAAAACCAATTCTAGATCATTTCATTAAAATTTGATTGGCTGCTTTTCACTAAATTTGGTTAAATTTTGTAGTTTTTCACAATAGATAACCATAACAAATAATTTTATAGATATGAAATTGAACATTTAAAGTTTCATAATTAACATTAATCCTATTGGAATCAATCCTTTATTTCAATATGTATAAAGACTCAAAAAAATTTATAAATTTTACCATTCTTTTCTGCTCAAAATTTACAATTTATTTTGCTGATTAGTGTATAACTTAGCTTCTGATTCATGTAACTAAAGCAAAAAGAATCAATTGATCTGTGTTTCTATATCATAAAAAGGCTGATCTACATTGCCCATTTTTGGTAATATGCCTGACTGAATTTATGATCCTGATCTGTAAGTAGTTATTCAGTTGAGTTTTAATTTAAATGAACATGATTATATTGTAAAAAGAAATATTTTCATAGTTATATGAGTTTGCTAATAATACAGTACTATAATTTTAAAATTTACTACTTTTTACTAAATCACATTACTACTAATTAAATAATATATTCATATTTAATTTATACTTAATCTAACTCACATTCTTATTAAAAAAATCTAGTATGCAAAAAAGTATTCATTGGGCCTTTATAATAAATATTAGTTTTTTTTTAAAAAAAAAAAAGTTTATAAATTTGATTCTATTGGGTTTTGAGAACTAACAAATTTTGTATCACAACTAATAATGCAGATAGATTATTTCAAAAATTATAACAACCTTTAGCTATTAACAATTGCTAAGATAATTTAAAATATGCTTTCTATATATAAGTTGTAGATACTATATAAACTTATAGTTTATTATTTGAGGACTGCTAAAAAAAATCCAAGATACTGTACTGTATTAAGCTTCGAAGTTATAATTTATTAGAATTAATCTGAATGCAATCTGCTTTATTTTAACAGTAAATTGCAGTATTGTATATTGTTATGATATTTAAGTTATAGTTATGTCAATACTACTTTGTTTGTCTATTATATAATTCACAAAAAGCTATCTCTGCTTTTGTAAAAAGAAATCTAACCTTATTAATTATTTATTAATAAGTATGCTTTAATTGTGCTTTATTATTATTATCACTGATGATTATACTTCATTGGAATACTACATGACCCTTTATTTGAAATATTCATTTATATGAGTCTGTTAGGCTAAACTTATAATTTTGTTTCTAACAAATTTTTCCAAAAAATTAACTAATTTAAATTGCTCGCCTGAACCCTCTTGTTGAAGCAAAAATATACAAATATTTTCTAAATTATTTAATGCTGAACTATCACTAACAGTTATTATCTTAATGCTATTATCTTCATCATCTATTTTAGTAACATTTTTATCAGCAGATTTAACACTATCATCTTTTTTAAATGTATAAGCAAGCTTCTTGATAATTTGGTCATCTGGAGGGATTTCATAAATGATATTCTCATCATTGAGCATAAGAATTCATCAGCAATTGCGAATAGTTTCAGTAAAGACTTCTTCACACCCTCTAATTGCAAATTAAATTGCTTGAAGAATATTCATCTTTAAGTTTTGAATCAAATGTCCTGCTTTAACTTAATCTAATAATTACCTAAATTAATATTAAAAATAGAAAAAAAAACAGAAATAAAGTATAAATAAGCATCATATAGCTAAAACCTGCAAATCTTATAAGATTTGCAGGTTTTAGCTTTTTATCACTCAAATAATAAAATTACTAATAATTATAGATTAAAATAACTAATTGAAGATGATAGCATCAATAAGCCTTTTTAAAAGTCATGATTATTTCTGCATTCATAAGTTGGATTTTTGAAGTAGTATGCAGAGGAAGAAAATAAACATCTATGCATTTAAGAGCTAAACTAGTAATATCATAGCTGCTACAATTATCAAGTAATAAAAGAATATGTTGGCTATTATGCTTTTATGAAACTTGAAGATCAAAATCAAGAAGCTACTCTTGAAAAAGAACTAAGAGCATCCATGCCTTGGCATTACTTCAATATGTCATAGGCAAATTTTTAATTTTCACGGTTTTAAAGCACTAAAGGTTGGCATACTTGCCAATAATAAGAGGGTTCACTTTATGAGACCCATCAATATTTGAACATAATGCTATAGAAATATGCTTCTTATTCTTTTTATGCCCTGCAAGGCATTGTGATGCTAAGGTTCAATCTGGCTTCAACCTATAATATATAATAATTAGATTTTTTTTTTTTAAAAAAAAAAATAAATTTATAACAAAAAAGAATATTAGTAAATAGACCAATTTCATCCATGTTATATATTCTGTTAAAAGGATATTTTTCACATATATCTTGTAGTAATGGTAAAGACTCGATAATAACATTTTGATCAGTGGATGCTTCTTCACTATGAAGTATTCTTTGATGAATTTCATTTCTTTTTTTAAATTTTTGAAGCTATTCTTGGAAAAATTGTAACCTATCTTCAGGAATCTTTAATTCACCCACTAGCAATTTAGTCTTTTCAATAATTAAGGCATCACTTAAAATAGTCTAATTTTGGTAAATTAATATAAATTCTTTGAGTGCAAGCTCAAGTTCTGAAAAAGTAACAGGTTTGTGATGTTTGGCTTCTGGATTTATTACTTCATTAGAAAGCTGTTTCTCTTTAGATTGAAAAACTCAGATAATAGTAGATTCACTAATTTTAACTCTCCATTTATCATTAACCTATTTTACATATTCTGATCAAGTTCTCTTGTTATCATGAGCATATAGACAAAGCTCATATTTTTGAGCATCTGTAAGAGAGGTTCTTTGTAACATTATAAAAAAGCTATATTGAAAGCTAAAAATTAAACTTTAATTAGAAAAGCAATTTTGCTAATTCTTAATGTAATGCAAACAAATGCCTAGTACAAAAAAAAACAGAGGCTTGGTAATCACATTCTACCTTTGGTTTGACACATAATTAACTTACAAGGTTATTACTACCAAAGAACTAGTAAATAAAACCATGCATATGTATATTTATAGTAAGCATGTAAGAATATACGTATTGTTAACTTACAAAAATGACTATAACTCTTGAACCATTAAACAAAATTCGATGAAACCACCATCATTTGAATTAGCTCACTGAGACGGTTCTAATAAGGTATATATTATCCATTTTTGATCACAGGATTTCAAGATCGAATTCAATAACCAAATTAATAAAGAAGTTACAATCTGATTGGTTGAATAATTACTGCGTGAAATGTTATACATATTAAACATATAACATTTATGTGATTTAAAGCATCTATATTTTATATTATATTTAGTTTACATATATTATTATTTTTTTTTTATTATTAAGGTGACCTCTTTGGTCTTTTGACTTTTATTAATCACTTATCGGTATTGTAGTTCAATGAACCACTACAGGA